ATTTATTTATTATTTATAGAAATTAAACTTTTATAAAAGTGCTCATATTTTAATAAAATGCAATTTGTTTGCATATTTTTATTTAATTTATTTAAAAGGCAAATTTTTTCTTTATATTTGCAAGGAGTTTTAAAAAATAAGATGGATCAAACGTTTTGTATTATAATATTTAATTATGTTTATTGATATAGGTTTATTCGCATTCTGATTTATATTATATTTATTTATTTTATCCACATAAAAAATTTAAATTCAGATTTCATGATAAAGTATGTAATCAATAAAAGAGATTATATCTAAAATATATACGTATGTACATTTTTATCTAACCAATATCCCAAAACTGAACTCTAATTATCAGATTTGAATTAGATCGGTGTTGCTAAATATTTGAAACCCAACAAATCTTGGACTTTTAGATTTTTTTTAAAGAAAAATAGAGAAAAATACGAATTGTTATAGAATTTTGTTTCATCTCACAAACGCGACCTTGTGCTCATTGGAAGATGTGGAGAAACTCCTCAAACCGACGCCCATTATATACATATACAATATATGCATACACCCACACACATACACAGACGTACATATATTAATATAATAAAAAAAAGTTTTATCGAAGAAGGCCTTAATCTCAAATATGTATTTCCGTTAAAATGATTATACATAAAAAAAAAAACTTATATGTATATGGAATTACAATAACAATAGGGAGTTCAAATATGTTTTCGCTCTCAGTCCGATGGGAACCATGAGGCTGCGTTTTAGTATATGAACGGAATTCGAGGCAAGTGTACCTGCTTGGGCTTGAGGAATAGAGAAGTCAACACGCCAGCGCTTGCCAAACTGTGCGATAAACGATAAAGATGTTATCGTTGTCGCGTCTGATAAAAGTGCTAATCGTGCTGCTGCTAGTGAGTGATCCCCGAGCAATACTCAATAACGATATGATATGAAATGATACATATAACCTCTGCATACAGCGCTGCCAGCTACAGTCAGCCCTGCCACAGCTGGACCAGCAACCAGAGGCAACTGTGGAACTAGATGTGCTGAGCTGTCCCTCCAGCTGTGTCTGCCAGTATGCCGCCTTCAATGAGCTGCCCATCGCACGCTGGGTGAATCACATGACCAACACGGATGCTTCCGATGATGCCTCCGACTTCCTGCTGGCCACACACATCAAGCTGGCAACATGTCTGCTGCAGGAGGAGAGCGAGACGCAAACGCTGTTCAGTGCTTTACCCATCGACCTGCAGGCTCTAATCTTGCTGCATACGGGCAGCCCAGGGAGCCAGCTGACAGGTGAGTCCCAACGTTGCAGTCGGGCATTACCGACTACAGAGCACCTATTTAGAGCCTAACTGCTAGGTGCTCTGATCTATTTTCGACATACCACGCCCCCAACTAATATCAATAGAGATGTGAACAGCAATTTAGACAGTTTTGGTGCTGTATTAGAGGGCGTCTAAGGTAAAGTAATCGTAAAAATTATACGTAATAATATTGTGAAAAATACAGGGTATTCTTAAGTGTGTCATAGTCGATGCAAGCAGAGTAAGCTTCCGTAATAAAATATAAGCTTTGAAATGAATGTATATATATGGGATTGAACATGTAAAATTTCAATACTGAAACAAAGGTTTAATATCATTTAAATGCTTTGTATTGAGCTTGTGCATTGATAAGAATAAGTTTCGAATTTACGGTCGCATATTAAATATCCATGCATGTAGAAAAAGCCTCAGTAATCAAATATAAGCTTTGAGAAAAAATTAGGTTAAACTATGTGGGCTAAAACATTTAAGATAAACCCTCAAGCGTTAAATACTGATACAAAGCCTGAATGTGATTTCGGCTTAGACTGTAAATCAAAGCTTTAATGGGATTTTGACAAAATAATAGACTTATAGATGATTATAGATGACAAAACAAGCTGAAACCTATTATATGGAATTTACGAAAATCAATGGAGTTTAGTTAATAGAGTTCTTTATTTTGACAATACTTTTTAATCTTCAAGAATTTTTAATAATATAGAATGTTGCCTTAATAATAATTCTTGAATAATTGCCTTAAGTTTTTACCTTTAATATACTAAAAGTTTATTAAAGCTTTAGCTGGCCTGAATTTTATTATTCATATATTATTCAGATACATAATCATATCATTTATGCAATTAAAACAGCTAAATAAACCACGAAAATGAATAGAAATTGATGCATTGCAAAAGTCTAATAAAAACTTATATCTATCACTAATTGAAGTACTATAAATATTTGGATTAATCCAAACACATAATAATATGCGATTGCAGTGAATACGAGCAGCTTGCGTGCCCTCAACCAGCTGAGCACTCTGGAAATACGCGGCTCGGGCACCACCACGCTGAACATCGATGAGCCGCTGGAGTTTCTGCAGCACGCCAACTTCGAGCAGGTCAGGTTGCAGGCGAGCGAGCGGCTGCAGCGGCCGCAGCACTCGAAGCTGCCCAGCGACAATTACGAGTACAAGCCGCCCAGTGATATGGCTGGCAACGAGGCCACGCCCAAATACCAACTGAAATTCGAGCCAGAGGCCGCCGTCGAGATCATGAGCTATGCGCAGTATGTGGAGCGACTGAAGCAGACGCGCATGCCCAGCTTCTGGGGCTGGAGCCAACTGGAGGTGCTGCGCATCCACAACTGCCAGCTGAGCGAGCTCCATTGGCAGATGTTCGACGGCCTGACGCAGCTGCATCACCTGAGTCTCGAACGCAACGGCATCGAGGAGCTGCAGCCGTTCGCCTTCAGCGGAGCGCCGCACCTGAAGAGCCTCTCGCTGGCCCACAATACGGTCGCACGCCTTTACTACCTGGGCCTAGCTGGACTCCTGGAACTGGAGACCCTCAATCTGGCCGACAATCACTTGGAGCGCTTGAGTGAGTCCAGTTTTCCGCCTCTGCCGCGCCTGCTCAAAGCTGATTTGAGAGAGAATCCCATCATGTACATATTGCCGGCGACGTTTTGGGTGATGAACGATACGCGCGAGCTGCTCCTGGGCAGCGAGCTGGCCGCTCTGGAGCTGCGCAGCTGGAACAGCTATGGACAGTTCGATTCGCTGCACAAATTGCGCAAGCTGAGTCTGGCCAATGTGACGACAGCCAGCTTGGAGCAGGGCGTCTTTAAGGTAAGGAATTAATAAACTAATGCTCAGTTTTATTATAACCAGGGCCCATTCAAAATAGAAAATGAAGGTGTAATGATTTTGTTAAAAAATATATGTAAGTACAGTCGAATCTCGATAAGTTCTACTCCGCTAAATCGAAAATCGCAATGAGTTGAAACAATTCTATTCCCTTCAAAGAAATTCGTTCTCAATAATTCTCGATAATTTGATTTTCTATGTAAATCGGAAAACCTGATCCACTTGTCATTTCGAAATATCGGGATTAATCGATTTATTTTATGTCTATCTGTCTGTCCAACTGACCATCTGCCCGTATGTATAAGTAGATCCTAGAATCTATGATAGCTAAAGATTCGAAAATTTGTGTAGGTCTCCCTCACTGATGCCATTTCAGCATTTTTTTCCGTCGGATCTCGCTTTCTTCAAAGTTCGTCTTTCTGCTTTTCCATCTAGATCTAGTTTTTTGTGCTTTGAATAAATGGAAGCATTGATCCCCATATTTGTTTCCAGAAACCGATAAGAATACTTATTTTAACTTAATATCACCTTATCACATTTTCAGTTAATAAATTATGTCCCGTACAACTTCTGAGCTATAGTCTCCATATTTTCTATTTAGTTTAATTTTTATTTTCTACAAATTTTATTTTATTAATATTTTTTGTTTTCCCCCAATGAGTACGATTTCAAATTTCATCAAATTCCTTAACTCAAAGGTCAATGGCAAATATACCTAAAATATTTTTCTGTAATTAGACAGATTTGATATAGAATTTAAAGATTATATGCTAAAAGCTTCATTGAAATCAGTGCCGAGAGGTTCCTAAACAGAGTATCTACTAGTCGGGAACCCCGGCTAGAGTTTTCATACTTTTTTTTTGTATACCTCATGAGAAGGTAGAGTATCAAGAGACCCCGCTACATAGCTTCAATCCTCTCTCTCTCTCTCTCTCTCTCTCTCTCTCTCTCTCTGCAGGGTCTTTATGCACTGGAGCAGCTAACTCTGCGTGGCAGCATTAGCAGCGTGCAATTCGATGCATTCGCTGGCATGGAGCAGCTGCGTGAGCTGGACCTCAGCCATTGCGGCATTGTGGAGCTATCGATGGATGCGCTGCTCGGGCTGAAGCGTCTGGAGCTGCTCAATTTGGCGCACAACAATTTGACGCATGTGCCGAATGGCCTGCTCGACGATCAGCTGCAGCTGGAGGTGGTGCAGCTGCAGGGCAATCAGCTGCGCACGCTGCCCACCAGCTTCTTTCAGCAGCCGCGTTTGCGTGTCGCCCGGCTCGATCAGAATCCGTGGCAGTGTGACTGCGACATGAGCAACTGGCTGCCAAGGCTGACCAATGTGATGCGCGGCCCCAGCGTCGAGCGTTGTGTGCGCGATATCAATGGCGAGCCGATGCTCTGCCGGCATGTGGCCAGCTATGAGACGGACAAGAAACTGGTGCCGCGCTGTGCCAACTATAATGGACGCAGCGTCTACTATGTGCTGCGCAGGCAACTCCACTGCGGCGCCCCGCTCATGCTGGCGCCCTCGAGGGGGCACAGCACACGCGGCCTGCCCCATTGGCGTAAATTGGAGCTGCACCAACAGCAGCAGCAGCAGCAGCCGCAGCAACACAAACTCGGCTCCAAGAAGAAGCAGCATCCGCACAAGAAACAACGCAAATCACATTTGGCCCAAAGAAACAATTTGGAGCGTATATTGAAGGAACAGCAGCAAAAGCAACAGAATGAGGCAACCTCGGCTCACTCTGATGGCCAGCAAATGTCTAATGAGATTTAATAACAATACCAATACACACACATGCATACACACATACATACACACACATACGCACACACTCGCACTTAGTTTAGGTTTAAGCTGAATTCCAACAATTATCAATGTTTAATACGCCAACAAAAACTAATTAGAATTAATAAAATAAATGATTAAGTACACATCGACTGAAACTAAACGGAGACGACGATTACAGCTTAGCTTTACGACTATAGCTTGAACAGAATCTTGAATACTTTTATTAATACAAGAAATAACGACTATAGAAGACGTTACAGTTATCCAGTAAGCATGCTTATAAGATTCTGATTTGAAACGGATTTCGTTATCTACGACTGAAACACTGCAACCGGAAATATGTTTATGACGGAATGTACAATTCAAGATTAGTGCGCTTTGAGTGCTCAGTCGAAATGGTTGATCTTTATGGGAGGTCTCTCACTCTCTTCTCATATACGCATGTAAATATAATACATACATATACATCTTCTTTACGGAATGTAGAGATTACGATATATACATACATATATTATGATCGCTGGAGTCACAGACCGGAAACGAGCAGACAGACAGACGCAGAGCGCTACAACGACTCATCTTGCCGTCTTGATCAAAAATATATGTATGTATACCTTATGGAGTCCGTCACGCCTCTTTCTGCATTCTACACACCCTTGCTCAGAATCATTAAAGGGTTACTTTTCTGTGTTCCCATTACAAAAAATGGTTCATATAAGAACTAGAAGTTTCTCTGAATATTCATTGCAATTGCAGATTATATATCATATAGTATGAAGTTGCTTATAAAAGAAATGATTGTATTTAAAGTCAGGTTTAGGTATTATCAATCGCAAAAAAGTTGCTCACATAAAAACAACATTTTTTAGACTGAATATTCAGAAGACAAATTGTTTGTAAATTTGAGGAAATTATCAAACTATTAAATGCTACAATTGATGGGTGGTTTCTAAGGTTTTTCATACAAGAAACTAATTAACTTAAAATAGGATAATTCCAATTCACACAGATAAATAGTTACAGTTAAAAATTGAGTTGACTGTCGATTTTAATCAGACATAAAACATATTTAAAAACAATATATTAGCTAAATATGAATTCAAGATATTCAACTATAAACATAATATTCTTTATAGAACTCTGAAGAGATAGTGTAATAAAAATGCTCAACTGCTGATTTTAATTAAGAGCAAAAAATTCTTGATAGAATTATAATGCAGAATCTAGAAGTATATGGGCACAATATTTAAAAAAAAAAAGTAAATATTTCAAAAAAATTATATAAATATATATCTCTTCCTCCTAACTAGCCCTCTTGAATTCCATTTCAAAGAACTGTGAATTTTTCTTATAAGCGTAGTTCTCACTTACCCCTGAGCATCGTTGCGCAGCTGCCTTTGAAAACGCTGCGCAGACCGCCCTCCTTATACAGTTTGCCAGCGCAGTCGATCATGCCGGTGTATTTCTTTTCGCCACCTGGGCCAGTGCCCTGGGTTTGCAGCAGAACTTTGATGCGTTCGCCGGGCGCCATGATGAACGTGGAGAAGAGGCCAGAGAACGAGCCGGCGACAAAGATTTGCGGATAGGTAAGCTTTGAATCCTCACCGCGCTGCTGCAATCGCTTGCCCAGCGCATAGCCGGCAAAGCACATTGCAAATATAGGCGCCACGCCAGTTAGCGGCGCTGACATGCCCTTGTACAGCCCCCGGAAGCCCTCGTTGCGTATGGTCTTGGTGGCACAGTCTAGGGTACCGCTATACATGGGCTTCTCTCCAGGCGCTGGCCGTGGCATTGTTTGCAAACGTACCTAAGCATGAGAGGGAATATCCTTATTAGGCGACTATCAATTCATATTATGGTATACTTACCTTAATCGTGTCGAGGGGGTGACCTGAGAGAACATTGCATATGCCGCCAAAGCCGCCAGTGATGAAGGACTTCAGCGGATTAGCTTTGCGTTCTGCAGGAGCATTTTCAACCTTCTCAAGAGTTGTCATGGCTTACGGATTTGTGAGTCTGTAAATGGAAAGTGTTTCAATCAGTTTATAATTATATAAATAAAATATTATTGTGATTGTTTAGATAGAATACATATTTTTATATATAAAATATGAATAAATAAATAATTAA